CTCTCCAAAACACCTACTGAGAGCTATGCTTTTAGCTTGAACTTCCTAGATCTTTAATTTTAAGTCGGAGGTTAAGATCATCACACATTTTATACAGCTCTGTTACCATGACCTGTGCATTTGGATTTTGATAGGTGTCTCTGGAGAAAGTTCACAGATGCTTCAAGAGATTGTGGTCTAAGTGGGAATTGTTAGAACTGATGTTTTTGCAAGTCTTGTTCCACAATGAGTGTTACAACCCTCACCGTCCCATCGTATAATGAAAATAATTAAATAAATCTATCTGTTAAGGCTGTTGTTGAATCTCCTCGAATCTGCTGTGATGACTAAAGAAAGAGTATGGTCTTTCAGAGTGAGCTTTTTGCCCTGAAAGACTTGAATTTATTTTCTGACCTTACTATGGGCTTTCTTCTGAACTGTGGGAAAGACAGAGTTGCTTATTTTATTTAGATTGCTACGTCTCACTGAGGCAGGCATGCAGCCTTTCTGTACATAAACCTTTTAAGCATTCAAATAAACCTGAAGACATAAAGGATGCAAATAGGAAAACTTCATATTTTATAGATTTTGATTCTACCCACATCTGTATGAAAAAGGTATCAGAACAGATAAAACCAGTGGTGATTTGATTTTGGTTTTCTGGGTTATTTTGGAACCATGTCAAAAGGAAGCACTGGATTTTACCAACTGTACCTCAATACTTCCCAGAGGTATTATGGATCTGGCAAAAAAGCCCATAAAAGTTTATATTTGATACTGACCTGTCAGCTGCCTGCTTTCTCACTGCTCTCACGATGCTACTTGTACGATAATTTCTATTTTTTAAAAAACCATTATGGATGTAAAAAGTATTCCACAGATCTTGTTTTTTTTTCTCACAGCAGCTCTTTAATCTGGTTTTCAGAAATGTTGGGCTTCTCACTCACTTTACAGAAGTTTCAGAGCTAGTAGTGCCTTGATGTCAGTTCATGGTCCTTTGAGGCAATGGATAGAGTTGGTATGCTGGAGAAGTTTAAAAATTAGGTTTAGAATTGTTAGACAACTGGATTTAAAAACAAAGTGAAGAAATAGTTGTTTCTCAGGTGAAATGCAAGGTTTTCAATTGCAATTTCAATATATTCAAGTTCTCTGTGAATGCGACTTTTCCACAGTATTATTGAAAAATGTCAATGAAATCCCTTTAATCTGGTAAAGTACAAAATGTTTTGCATATTTACTTCATGGAAATGCAGTAAGCAGG